CGCAATCGCCGCGTCGCCATTGGCTGGCGCAGCCGTCAATCTCCGCGGGGAGCGCTTCGCCCCCGCCCGCTCTTCCTGGGCCGTTTCCAGCGGCCGCTGCCCGTCGGGGGTGCGGTTGTAGCCTGGGGCCGGGATGGGCTTCGCGAGTGTCGCCGCAGCGTGGGCATCGCACCGGAGAGAGGCTATCCGGCAGCGCCGCTGGCGAGCCGTGGCCCCGGGCGAGTCCGGGCCGGGCGCCGGCCGTGCGTGCGGTGCCGCTGTCCCGCGGAATGAGCTCCTGYGGCACCGCGGGCTGCGCGGCCGCGGAGAGGAGGCTGTGACCCTTCCCGGCTCTTGGCAGCCCTCGGCAGGTGCCGCCTCCCGCCGGGCACCCACGTGCGGTGGGAATGGAGACACCGCCGCGATCCCCGAGATGGCCGGGCCGGAGGGACCCTCCCGTGCGGGACGCGGAGGGTCGGGACTGCCGCGGTCTGCGGAAGGGATCAGCACTCGTGGGGACCTGGTCGAGAAGAGGCAGCCAGGGCTTCAGTGTCCTGCAGAGGGACAACGGGAGTGAGGTGAAATGAGAGCGTCAGGCTGGGTGAAAGGAGAAAGTTATTCATGCTGCGGACAGCTGGGCCGTGGGAGTGGGCTCCTCAGGGATTTCCACTCCAAGCAGACACAGTCCTGAGCAACCTGGTCTGAGCACGCAGCTGGCCTTGCTTTTGAGCAGGAGGTTAAGTGAGAGGCCTCCTTACAACCTGAATTTTCTAATGGGGATTGACGTTCACTTAGCCAAGGTGTTTGGATGTGTGTGTGGATGCTGACTGCTGAAAGGCCTGGATATGAAAAACCTCATAGCAACTGCTGTGCTGCACAGGCTGCAGGCCCGGAAACAGAAAATAAATAATAATATTTTCTGTGGAAACAGAAAATTATTTACATTGTGTGCAGTCATACTGATTTTACGAAATCTAGCACATAGTATTTGTTGCCTCTGCAAGTTCATCCYGTTCACACACTATAACCTAAAGTTAACTACAGACTTCTCGGGTAACCCTCATGCATACTAGGCCATGCCTTTTTCTGCARTGCACAGAATAGATTTTTCTACTTCAAAACAAGAGTTGTGCAGTAAAATGAGGCATTTTATGTGTAATCCTTGTGTAATTTCTAGGAAAATTAGAAGGCAGGCAAGAGGATAATGGCTGAGGCTGCTTACTGTTCTTTACAGAATTCTGAAGAAATTGTGAGATACTAAGTTTTCTTAAAAATTTCTGTGTGATGCCATGTGACACATAGCTTTAATCTGATTTTTTGTGAAGAGGTTGAGGGATGTGTTTTCACAATGCCAATCTTAAGATGCTGGCGTTTCGTTTAGAGTAGCTTACTAGTGAAAACTAAGTCAACAGGCAATAGACCATAAATATTCTACGTATTTCATAAGGCGCAACATCAAGAAATCAAGTCCTATTTTACACCAATTAATATTTTTTCTTTATTCTTAGTGTTTCAGTAGTAAAACTATGCAGCTCATAGGAGTGCTCTTAAAGGAAATTAATGTAAGCACAGAGAAGCAATGAATAGAGAGCAGGCACTATTAGATATCTGTGTGTAATTCCACATTGTTCATTCTCCATCCACTGAAAGAGGTTAGGGACCAGTAATTAAAGAAGGAATTATAATGCATGTGCACAGGCAGTTTTAATTTGTTCCAGCTATATTGCTTAATGTTGTAATCTTCATSTTTTATGTATTACATTGCATAATTTAAATGAGTCTGATGAACTATTTTTAGTATCTCTTGCTCCACATTCAAAAACAGCAGTAAAAAAAAGCCTTTCAGTCTTTCAAAGAGGAGATGGAGTATCATTTTTCTTTTTCTGGAAAACCAGTCACTGCATTTTAAAATTTGATACAGCAGATGCTACAATTACCACAGCACTACTGGTTTAGGATGTTTTCTATAAACCTCTAGATGTTTTCTATATGCAGAACAGAYTCTAAAATTCTGTCTTTCCGGGTCCATTTCTCAGACCTCCCAGGTCTTTCCTGGTTCATTCCTCAGATAYCACTAAGCATGAAGAACAGCAGCAGAACCATATGTGCCAGTTTCTCCAGAAAATAATACAGTAGCTTCMCATGCATGCTGGGAAACAGTAAATACTGCTGTGAAAGGCTTAACTTAGAGGTGCAACAGGAGACACTCGGTCTCTGCTGATTTCTGAGGCTTCCTAAGTTTGCATCGTCCCAACTGCTATCTCATTGCCAGTACTTGCGTGGCTGCCAGTAGTTAATACCATTGGCCTGAGCAAATGTATTTGACACAATCCTTAAACCAACTGCCCCTGCAACAATCCTGTCTTCATTAAGGCTCTGAATGTTGCTAAAACCAAATGCCTGCAATGAACTTCCCCTAGATTAGAAAATTCGGGAAGGCTTCAAAGTAAACTGCTATTTTCCTCTTTCCTCAGCAAGGCTTGGACACCTCTGCTCAGAATCCCAGCCAGAGGTGCCTCCCAGGGCTGTATTTACACTCATGTGTCATTTCACACTGGTTTCAGSCCATTAGTTTCTGGAGAAATCTGCTGCCTTATGACAAACTTTGCTCCCTGATCTACAGTTTTGGAAAAGTAAATTGCCTGTCAGTTTCATTAAAAATCTATGTTCCTTTTCTTTAAACAACATAAAATGTAATACATTTTTTGGCGTGTGCTTTTCCTGAACTCTTATTGTTGTCTCATGTCCTAAAGAGGTGAAGAGTGTAGACAATTTCTTTAGCAGAGTAATGAAACATCTGAGTGGCCAAATGAAGTCAGTGTCATTCTGTATGAAGCATGTCAGGTGGTGATTTTCAGAGTCCTTTGATGTTCGCAGAATCACGGAATGGGTAAGGTTGGAAGGGACCACAGTGRGTCATGTGGTCCAACCTCCCAGGTCAAGCAGGGTCATCCTAGAGCACATGGCACAGGACATTTCTTGAATATCCATTGAGGGAGATTTCACAACCACTCTCACAGTAACAAAGTTTTTGCTTATATTCAGGTGGAACAAGCAACATTTTTGGGACATGTAGTCTGCTGCACTAACACTAGACAAAAAGCCRTTTCAAATATTTTTCTCCATCCCCTTTTCACTTCTCTGAGTTTATATCTAAATTTTGTGTAGGCGCCACAGTGATAAGAACTGTTGCCAATCTGTTGTTGCACTCATGCAAAATTTCTTCAAAATGCTGATCCAACCTACGCACTGTTTAACAGATAGAAAGGCTGCAGCAAGGGAGCTGCTGTCTATGGATTATAAATCAGTAGTCAGAAGGGCTGTTTGCACAACTCTTGGCCAGTGTGCTTCTTGGCTTTACCTAAATGACATTTTAATAATGTTCATCCTGTAGCCTCCACATTAATCTGATGGCACAGCACTGAGCACTGTCTGTAACAGAACACAATAAGGAAAAATTACAAACTCTTCAATGCTAGCAGAAAACAAGGCATAAGGAAAAATACTCATGCTTTCTTCTATGTACGGATGTCTCTTTTTTAGAGACTTTTAAGAAAAAAATGAATGAAAAAGAGATCCCAGAAATGGCTAGAGTAAACACAATAAAACTGCTTAATCTATTCCTAGTAAAATAACTGCCTTAGTTATATTTAGTTAGTTATATTTAGTGACTAACTTTAGTTACTCAGCAACATCATTGTGGCTTTTAATGAGTAAATTCCTGAGTGGCCTGGAATGTGGTCCTGAAAAATCTCTCTCCTTCTTCCATGAAGTTTTCTTATAGATGGGAACAAGCTTCTAGGAGGCTAATTTCTAGAAAGGAAATATATTTTCATTTTTGCCCAGAAGTTAGTTTGCTGACAAGTCTACTGGCATTCAGCAAGGTTCCAAGACATTGGAACTGGCTGAATATATCTTCCACACTTAGTATAAAATGTGCTACAGCGTAAAAATGTGCACTAGGAAAAAAAGCTTGTAACTGCAGTTTTATGGTAATGACACTGCATAATTGATGAAGACACTTATCATGGACAATATTTTCAACCTGTTGGCACAGGAGACTTCATGTGCTCAGTAATACCATTTGTATGCAGGGTCTGGATCTCAAAGTTACACAGTTTATGAATATGAATGATATGAAAGGTACCCTTTGGCATCACAGGAGTGGATGCTGCCACTACATTTGATTGCTGGTCAGGGAATGCCCCTTCCAATTGGGTACTTTKGTGATTGTGTGATTCTGCTTTATGCTTCTGGCAGTAGAATAGTGCAGTGGATTCTCTCTCTAGCCTCAGATTTTGACACATCAGATGTAGCCCAAAACAAGAGACAAGTTATATCGCTGCAGTGTGAAGGCATGARTTTTCTCATACCAGATATGGTGCTGGCGGGGAGGACAAATGCAGCAATCCCACTCTGCCAGCTCTTTATGGTGATTATAAATTGATAAATGTAATTATGGGGGGTTGGAATTATTAAGATTCTGATATTGCRGACACTGCTGGTTAAAGTACTCATTCCTATAACTGCATCTTCTGAATTGCTAAGATTCTTTTTGGTTACTGCTGTACTCGCTTAAGGATTGGCCTCAAGTTAGGACATGTCTCTGTAGATGTGCATTGTTGGACCATAAATGAAAAGAAGGCTGTTTTTATTTATGGAAGAAAAGGCACACCTTAAGGGCCCCTGCATCTTTCATAGCAATAGAAGTTGTAGGGTTTGGATTACAAAAAGAAAAACACAAAATAACAAAAAATCCAGAAGATGAATGATATGTAAGATAAACAAAATTAATTTATACTTTTTATTCAACTAGAGAGGAGAGGCGGGGGGGCACAGGAGAGGCYGGGAAAAGAAAGAATCACATGGGAAATACACCATGTCGGTCATGAAATTAATACCCATAGGTTAGACTTTCCTTTTGTCTTTAGATTGGCCAT